GGAAGAATGGAAGCAGTGGAGTTGATCCACATAGTCATAGTCGTTTATCGAGCTTGGACAAAAGTACTCCACTTAAACTTATAAATAGAGAGCTTTATTTTAAGTTTAATGCTGGCAATTATTCCGATACTATGAGCCACTTCTCGATAATGGCTTGTTACCCTTCCAACACACAAACCCGCTTTCTCTTTCGGTATACAACCGACAAGTGTATAGCAGAAATAAAGTAGGCAATCATTTACAATGCCATAAACTAAGAAGTATTAAATTCCTTACCGTATGTCCTTGTCCCCTTTTGCCGTTTTTCCACCTTCTTCCAAGGAGTTTCAGTTCTCAGCTGCAGCAAGTTATCATGAATTTTAGCTTCACTTGGTGCATCGTCATTTTTGGAATCGCTTTCCTCACCTTTTATAGAGGACTCATCGGCAATATCTTCCTCAGGAAACTTGGCTTTTATGATACAAAAAAAAAGTAAAATAAGCCCTACTGTACGATACGTGATCCATTATATTAAAATTCGCATCCTTTCCTCTTCATCTTGATACTCGTCTTTTAAAGGAACTTTAAGTGACTCTATAAAGACTGCACTCGTTACGTCGTTCCCGACAAGCCGATGGGAAAATTTCAATTTAAAAAAGTTAGAAATTTCACGGTTTTAGGAAGTAAAAGCAGTCTGTATGAGCAGAAATAGGAATGCGAGTGTTTCTGCGGCAAATTATGTCGAATAAATTAACGTAGGGGAAACTGACGTTGGGACCGTTTTGTAGTTTTAGGTAATTGGAAAATTAACGATTCTTTCTCAATAAGATACGACCTTCAAATATGGTTCATGAGGTTATGCATTCATGGCTACCCCTAAACTTTAACAATATAGCAATGTTTAGAATGCATGTGGGAGCCAGGGACAAGAAAATCTTGAGATTTAATTAAAACCGATCTATAAAGGTAATGTCGCCCAAAGAGCAGACTAATGCGCTAAACTGGTGTGCTTCAATCCCGAAATTGTGATCGAGGATAAATGCTCTTAATCAAATTCACCTTCATAAACCCGAGTTGTGGTCATAATCTAATCTCACCTGCCATGTTCAACTTTTTTTCCGGTATAATGGTATATCTTGTGTTGAAATAATCAGCTCACCTTAAACTGGTAAACTAGAGAAATTTGATAAAGTCAGCGAAAGAAAACATCAAAATTCATAAGACAGGTTTAAAACGGTAGATCAGTCAGTAATGATAACAATCGATCTTTATCTTAGCTCCTTAGGGCAAGTAACCTAGAGAATTAAAATTACAGAGGCAAATTCAAAAGAAGTTGAATTGATCATAGATCCAACATTTTCACTCAGAGAGAGCAGAAGCTACTTAGAAATAGCGAATACCAGTCCAGCTAAAGTGATTCCAAAATGATGAAAATGTTAAAATGAAAATAAAGGGATACAGAACACACGGCTATTTAAACGTACAAAGCCACTAAAAAAAAATGAAATTTCAAGTAAATCAATGTACTCGTCAAATGGTAAAAATGACACGTTCTCTCAGGAGATTCTTGAAACTGGAAGAACTCTTTGTTTTAAAACCTTCTCCTAGGGTTTTGCAGATGGTCAGAAGTTGGGTAAGAAACATTAATTTGTGCAGACCAGCCTGATTTTATGTTGACAAATCTTTAAAAAGGGGTAATAAATCATTCAAAGTCTACTAGAATAATAATCGTCCATAAATAAAGCAATATGCAAATATATGAAATAACCAAGGAAACTTGAAAAAACTTGTAGTTTATGGGAAATGGTACTGTAGTGGGAATCGTAGCCAGAGGATGTTATAAATCTGACTGTTCTCTTATGTAAGATGGTAAAAGGGTATTAGGTGTTTCCCCCCAAATAACTAGCCTATAAGTCAAGAGGGGAGAAAGATCCAGTTGTTGAAAGGCCGATCAGCGCTAACCCAGGGTTAAATTTTTAATCTCAGTTTCCTTATTCCTTTGTACATGAGCCTTTCGCTTAATTTTCTCTATTCTTTTTAGAGCATCCAATCACTAAATTTTTAACCAAAAAAAAAAAAAAATCCTGAATTTTCTTTTAAAGCTTTCAGATCTAAAATCAGACTTCACAATAATCCTGGGTTCTCTTGACCCTGCTTTGAAAAACCTGGTTCAGAGTAAAACTACAGAACAAAATGCTTTTGGCTCACATAGTGTCTCATGTTAGATAATTGATACCAAAAAAAAAAAAGCTTAGTCATTTTTTCCTCTTAAATGTGTTACTACTAATCGCACTGTGAGTAAAGATGTACATCCAGGTACTCAGAGAAGTTTTTCCAGCTTAACATGCCTGTTAAAAATGCATTGTATTACAGCGTAATTTTGCTACTTTCGTGGATAGTAAAACAAACAAAATTTGTCTTCAAAATATTCAAGAAAAGCTTATTTACTGAAACCCAGCTTGAAAAAATGTAATGTTATCATCAATAATAGTCTGAGGTTTGTAAGAGATACAATTCTGGTAAAAAAAGTTTGTATCAACTCCAAAAAATAATGCAAAAGCCAAAGATTTGCAGTATTTCCTGACATAGTTGATCTTTAAAGGAAAAATTAGAGGGTCTTTCACTAAATCCTGGTAGCCATAATGGGTTATTGAAATGTTATCAGATTTAATTCTGTGAATAGGAACATATTCCTTCTTTATCAGTTTGTTAAAGAAGGTGAAGTGCTAGTGCCACAAAACCGAATCATAGTAGATATCCTTTCAGTTCTACTTGCTGAAGCACAGACTTACGTAACCAGATTGTGAGACTAAACGATTTTCGAAATAGAAGGAAAAAATTGAACCGGAAGTAGTCTTTGATATTCGGTTAGTAATTCACGAAAGAAATAGGTGCAAGTTCCCTCAAATACTACTTTTTGGTATTTTAAATGCGACTGACAATCTTTAATTTCAAAGAGAAACAAGGTCTTAGTGGAAAATACCTCCAGGTTTGGTTGTGTGGCACGAAACCTGAGATTTGAACTCGCGGAGAACATCGAGCATAGTTTTCCGTCGTCATGCTTTGCTAGCATAGTAAAATAACGTTAAAACATTACATACCTTGACTACGATTTCGAAAATACCACTACGTTTCCTTTTGCTAAGCATTTTTAGCCCCAAATCTTGAATTGTATCTTGTTTCATGACACGACTGCAGTTTTAGTAATATTTTATGTCGTGTTAGTCTCTAATCACATCTTCCTTCATAATAATCACAAGTTGTCATTTCTTTAAAGTAAATTCACGAGAACTTGTCCAATAGATTGATTACAATAAAGAATGAATTGTTATTTCTTTAAACTCAATTCTCGTGAATATGTCCAGTAGGCTGATTGTGATGAGGTTAGAAGCCTCACTAATGATACAGTTTGCCACTGACATTGTCGTACGCATCAATATTTTTGAGTATGTTTCAGACAGAATTCGTAATTAGACTTGACTGCGCTAGCTATTCTAACCAGGCACTTACCAATATTTAAGCCACCTTTTCGTAATCGTATTGAAGTAATATCTTTGGTAAAAGATTTATGGAAAGTTAAGAGCACATAAGTTCGCCCAGCAAAAGCATCAAATATTGTTTTGGGGTTTTACCCAAGACATTTTCTTTCACTTTCGAATCCACGGACTACGTCACACAATGTGCTTGCTTTAGTGAGCATAATTTCTTCACCTGATTATTTTCACAATTTATCGACTACTAAAGCGGCTCCCGACCACGATAAAGCAACAAAAATATTCGAAACTTCTCCAGCAACAAAAAGAAACGAGGGCTTACCTTGAATTCGAAGCGCTTTAATTAAACTTCCAGCATATCCAATATTATTGCACGAATACAAAAATTATCCACTTGAAAATATCGCCAAAAAATCGAGTGATAACGATGGACGGTAAACACATAGTCTAGTGATCACATTCTTAGTTGTGAAATTTCGCTTGATCAATCTCTCTCTCTCCTTCCAGGAATCGGCAAAATCACTTCCGTGCTGATTCTCAGAACAGCTAACATCAGAGTGAGGTTCATCGAAAAAACAATCGCGATCACCTATCAAAAAAATTCAAAACAAGTCACGCGCTGTGTTAGGCACTGGCGTTTTAAAAATGTTTGTTGACATGAACACAACTTTTAGCTAAATCGTGATCTTGTTCATTTAGATTGTAAGCGCCATGCTTAGAGCAAAGTTCTTATAAACAACTCTGTTAGAAGCGAGTTGGTAATGTAAATTGGCCACAGTAAGAAGCTGACGTTTCGAGCGTTAGCCCTTTCGAGGCGCTTCGTCAGAGCGATGACGAAGGGCTATCCCCCACCGATGCAGCACCACAGAAATTTACCCATTTTACCTTAAAACAGCTGCGAAACGAGGTAAATTATCGTTACGAGAGAACTATTACCGTTTATGCATAGAGTCTGTTCAAAGTCGGCGTCTATAGCTTAAAATTATCCGTAAATAGAGGCCCGTATGTCCAAATACAGCGAGAGGGAATTTGTTCGATCAGTTAACAAGGGTATTTAAATCAGGTTTTTGATGCCTTCAAAGCCATATATCTACATGAATTTTGAAATCCAAGGTGGCAGACCATGGGCAGAATTCCTAGAATTAATGTGTCTCAATGCCCATACCCAACCGTGACATTGTCCCTAATTATGTTATCCAAAGAGTGTCTCACAACATTATTTGGCTTATCAGGCTTTCAACTGCACTTTGTCGCTCAGTACACATGAAGAAAACAAATTGAATAAGGTTAGTCTCATTATGAAATCATTAGTTAGTAGCTTAAGTCAACTGTGACATGCTCATGTGTTGTGGATGACGTGTAGGCTTTACCTAAATTTAGCGCGGTATAACGTTGATGGTAACCAATCACTACCAGGTTACTATTTAGGGAAAGTTTCTCGGAAAAACCGGAAGCGTTTCTCAATAACTTATGCTATGTGCATAAGCATGTGCATTGGAGCGAAGATGAACATGAAACTTTCCCGAATGTAACGTCGCGAAAGCTTAACCAAGGGAAAATACCTAATGGAGGATAGCTACCGTCAAGTACACACAGACGAATAATTCGTTTATTTCTCGCGGTTCTTTCAAGCTTAAACATCATGGGAGGCAAGAGCAGGTAATTATACAACATTCATATTCAACATAACTAGAGATGCGAGCTAGATCAGAATATTCATGACCTACAGGAAGCAAACTAGGTCGAAGACCCAGTTTTTAAAGCGCTTCGTCAACATTACAATTTGAACCAAATATTTTGCTGCAGTAAAATAAAAATGTTCAAATCCGGCTTTTACATAAGCTAGAAGTAAGAGAGATGGGTAATAATACCTGGCTCTGATAATCAGTTGAGTTGCGAGTGTATTAAAAAACACAAACGCTCTGAAGTTGAACCCCATTAGTAAACATCGAGTCGAAAATTTCATGTCATCTAAGTTACATAGCGCGAGTCAGTTCACATTAGTCATGGGACGGTCATAAAAAATTACGACATGAAAGTTGAATGCGAATAAATTTGATTTTACCTAAGCCCTTGCAGAAGGAAAAATTCTTAACCCAGCTTAACATTAAAAACATTAAGCGTCGTCGAGACAACTCGAAACGGAGGACTCAAAATTGCTAAATATCCAAATAGTTTTTGGTCAAATCAAAAGCGTTTGAGAACACCAGACAAGAAGTTGTGCCACAAGCGGGTCTATGAGACGGAAGACAGGCGAAAAGACATTAATGCTTTCTTATCCATCATTTTAAAGTATTAGGAGGTAGAAATTGTTTCTGTCACGACTTTATTTCCGGCCTCCATGGAATAAACACGGGGAACAACATAAAAGAATCCACTACTCATTTGATTTCGTCAATATCTGCTCTGACTTTGTTGCGAAGTCTGTTTCTGTCGATCATCACATAAAGCCGTTTACTAACAATGAAAGATCAACTAAAGCTGTTTACTAACAATGAAAGATCAACTGAAGCTGTTTGACCAACGATCATGGAACATATACGATAGCTTGCCTTTCGCTTCTGGCTGCCTTTGCCTGCTCACCACTGATTGTGTTCTTCGTTATAATGCCTTTCAGCAAGAAAAGTCAAGATAACGAGTACGCACAGTTGTCTTTTGAAGACGGTAAGTGTTCTTTTCTTTAGTAGAGCAGGGAGGGGAGGGAAGAGAGTGAGTGAAAAGGTATTTATCTACAATATCTCTTCACATATTAAACAAAAATTAGGAAGGATAACTGTAACAGTAGATAGTTGTAGAGGTGTAGGCTGAAGCACACTTATTCAAATAAGTCAGAAGGTTGGTGGCAAGATTTACCTTAGCACAGAATAAAGAAAGAGAAGTGAAATTGCGAAAAATTATTGGACACGATTTGTTTTTAACGTTTTAGCCTTGGTATACTCTTGCCTATTGATACACACTATCTGTTTTATCTAATTCATATGTTTGTAGATAACAGTATCCAGGAGAAACAGAGAAACCCTTTCTCACCACAAAAGAACACTGAGCTAGAGTCCTGTGTTCGTAGAAAAAGCTTTACTGATGTTTTTGAGCCTGGAAAGGAAGTTCAGGCAAATTCCGTGAAGGTCTTGAGGACTACATCGTGTGACAGAATTTCTGGCACTCAGGAAATCAGCCTTTCTTTTGACGTTGTTCCTGAACAAGTACAGTTGGCACTCGAGAAATCACCCGTTCTTTTGCCTTCCCCCCCTAAAAGAGATGTCTCTGATGCTGCCACGAAGATATTATATAATTATGCTGAACAAATCGTCAGCAACGACGATGTTATCGTAACCCTTCCCGTCAAAACAGAAGAGAGCGTAGATGTTTCAAATTTTGACTCAGTCCGCTCGATAGATGCTTACAAAATTGATGGAGGCTCTGTTAAAGGCGACAGTCCAAGTATTGGACATCAAAGTGTTACCAAAGCTGGAAATAATGGACACAGCGATACAAGAAATTCTGTTGACATCGGGGGTGTTAGCATGACATGTACTGACAATATCGACAGGAGTGGGCAAGTCGTGAGTTCCACAGGGGGCAATAAGAACGTTGGCAGTACGGAAGCATGCAAGAATGGTGAAAATTGCAAGAGCGGCATTGAATTAAATGAAACAAATTCTCCTGCTATGGATGAAAGTGTAACTATGAACTTGAAACTCGCTGGTAGCCATCATGCCTTCGCGTCTGATACTTGTGATAGAAAGAACATTGGAAATATTGATTTCAGAGAAGTACAAAAGTGCGTTGACAGTTGTCTTGATAACACTGGAAATATTACTGCTGTTAAGAATAACACTCATGCCAGCCTCGAAACTAATGACGATAGAAATGATGGTGATGCTGTTCCATTTGCTTTGGTAGAAAGTGTTAGCATCGGCTCGTTTGCACATACTCGCGGCCTCGAGAAAGACGAGAGCGGCACTGAAAATGTTCGTAATGCCATTTGTGTCAGTGCTGACAATGAAATTACCCCAGTTATTGACAGGAATACCATTGGAGATAATGATATTGAGGATGACTTTATCGTCACTGGCTTAAGTGCTCGTGTCATTGGACAGGTTTCTAGTAAGGATGCTAACAGCAGTCCAAAAAGCAGCAGTGATAGGAATAGCCACCGTGGGGGAGAATTTCACTTAAGCGTTGAGAGTGGAACAGAAAGCATTGCACCTACTGATGGAAAATTAAGCTCTGGCAAATATAGTTCTAACACTTTTGAATTTGATGGTTCCAGTGGTCATGAAATTGTTCATGAAGGAACTATTTGTGCCAAATTTAATGACGTCCAGAGCAGCAGAGCACTAAACGTTAAGGTTGATCACGAAAATGTGCGAAACGTTCACCCAGCTCCAGAGAAGTGTGACTGTTATGGGAGTGGTGATGTCTGCTATTCTTTAGAAGAAGGAGTTAAGTATGCAAATGAAATTGGCGATTCGTATGCAGACTTCTGCTTTGAAGATTATGGAAAACATACGTCAAGGACTGATGAAATACCGGAGGACACAGACGATGAAGATACGCATGCTGACTTCTGTTCTAAAGACTATACAAAATGTAACTCGAAAACTGATGAAACACAGGAGGGAGAAGACGATAACGACGGATATGCTGACCTCTACTTTGAAGACTACGCAAAACAGAACTCGAAGACGGCTAAAACTCAGGAGGAAAAAGAAGAAGACAAAGAAGAGGAGGAAGGAGATGAAAACGAGGAGGAATGGTCTTGGTTTAACAGCTGCACACAAGAACGAGACAACTTTGCCGATGAAAAGCTTCGAGGAGAGGGATCGGCGGATGAAAAGGAGGAGAAGAAAGATAAAGAAGATCAGCAGCATGATAATGATGGTAATGATGGTGGTAACGATAATGAAGATGAGATGGAGCACGAGCTGGAAAAGATAAGAGGGAAATACTATGGCTTTGATGATTATGATTATATTAGCGTAAACTATGTTGTGGAAGATGATATGGAGGATGAGGAAGAAAATAATGAAGGAGAAGAGGCAGAGTACGAGGAGGAAGAAGGAGAGGAAGAAGAGGAAGAAGAGGAAGAGGAGGAAGAAGAAGAAGAAGAGGAAGAACAAGAAGAGGAAGAAGAAGACGACGAGGAGGAAGAAGACGAGGAAGAGGACGAGGAAGTGAAAGAAACCGATGAAGAAGAAGAATATGACGATGACGATAGCGATGATTATGAAGAGGTGCAAAAAGAATTGGAAGAAAAAGGAGAAGAGAAAAAGTATGTGGAGGAAGATGACTTCACAAATTGGTGGTATGATGGGGATGAGGTGTACGACGATTTATATGACTATGAATCTGAATTAGTTTGTGGCCAGGATATCAAAGGGTACGAATCTAACACGTCGCATTTAAGAAATTCCATCATCTATTCGAGCCATCATGTTGAGAGCAATGCGCATTCATCAGTTTCATTAACCAAGCCCTCTTGGCAAGTTTATGATGAACGAAGTGAGAATCTGAAGAGAGAACTGTTCATCGACGCAAGGGCCAGGCATGAGGAAAGTTTTTCAGAAAGTCAATTTATCCCAGGAGACCCTGATGACGCGTCATTACCACATATGTTGTCATCTGACTCTGAAGCGTATCATACAGACGCGTTTTTGGTCAAAGGATTAAACACGAGAACAACAAAGGATGCATTGTTAAACTTTTTTGAGGTGATAAGTGGTGGACAAGTCAAAGAAATCACGTCATTGAATGAAGGGACCACTTTGGTTACCATGGAATTCCCAATTAAAGGTTTGTTTCGTTAGTATATTGTAAATATCGATTGAATCATTTATTATTGAATGGTTAGATTTTGCGCGTGGTATATTTGCATTTTATAGAATCCGTACCGGACTTACTCCCCCTCATGGTAACGAGACACTTTGTCATCCCTCAGTCATCTAGATATGTTTTGTCTCAGATATTTCAAGATTTACTAAGATTTTGAGTATCTCCTGTCTTGATACTATGTAACTTGTAAAGGGAGAAAGATTTTTAATAATTGAATGTATTTTCAGACATTGCAAAGATGAAAGAGAAGTGTGGGGGACGAACGTTAGATGGCAGCAAAATCACAATAACGCCAGCCTCTCCTTGCACCAGTGTAATAGTGAGTGGTTTATCCCTCGATGCTTCTCACGATTTCGTGAAGTTGTATTTCGAGAGTCCTCGCAGTGGAGGCGGTCCAGTGGATACAGTTCATTTTACAGAAAAAAGAGGTCAAGCTGTTGTTGTTTTCAACAACGCAAAAGGTAATTAATATTAAAAAAAATATTAATGATTATAACGATAACACTTTTCTAAAATCAGCTCCTCATCAGCCACGCTAAGTTGCTGTGCCAACGTTTAAAAGAGAGATATCGGCTTTCATGATTTGTCAGGCCATTTGTCATGATCACTTTCAGAGAAACGACACGCAACGATGAAATAGGTTTACCTAGGAATTTTTGAACTCTTCAATTCACTTCGTCGCTTGAAACATTTAAAAATGAAAATAGCGTTGACATGAGATGATACTTAATCAGGGTTGCCCGGGGCAGGCTAGAATACTGCTTAGTACTTATAAGCTGAACCTTTAACTTACAGACATGGAACGGGTGTTAGCGAGACAGATAAAACGACCACATGTTTTGGATGGACAGGATCTCATAGTAACAGTATTCCATGGGCTATTTCCAAATCTTGACCAGGAAGATATAGTGGGACACGTGGATTCTTCGCCTCCTCGTGACAGATCTGAACAATATATAGCAACCAAACAACCAATTCAGACAGCCAAGCAAACGTTATGTTTGGCTGTTGACCCTGATGTAATGGAGTTTATCCATAACTCATTACACTTTAACGATTTACAAGATTTACTTGAAAAGAGACGATGTGATCTAGATTGGAAAGCTGGTGGCAAGCATGCTCTTATTCAGAGCAATGGAGACCCTGAGGGCAATTGTTATCCTTCCCTATGCGTTGACGAAGTGCAGGCGTTTTTCGAAAAGTTTGTACAGTGGCATGTTCCAATAGAAGAAGAAATATGGAACAGTCTAGACTCGGGTTCCTTGGCAAATGTTTGCGATTTTATAGGGGATGATCCTCCACTTGTTAAAATTTCTGAGGGAGACTCTGGTTTCTATCTGAGGATGGTTTCTCTCAGATCAGATAAAGAGTCCCATGAAGAAATATTTCAAGAAGCACTATCCCACATCTACCAGCTAGAGAAAAAACAAAACTATCGGACGGAAAATATACCAAATGTCCCGAAAGAAAGAATTCAGCTGCTGAAAAAAACTAACTTCGAAGACAAGCTCGAAGAAGAATTCGAAGAGTTGATAGTGAGGATTGACGACGAAAGCGACGAAATACTATTTAAAGGGCCGACGGACGAGGTAACAGATGCCATAACAAGATATTGTATGCTTGACGCAGAGGTAACTGACAAGAAATTACAGTTTCCTCCTTATATCTTGCAAGTGCTTAACACTGATACAGCATTGCAGGCAATCAAAGACGAAATGGCAGAAAATGAGGCAGACGCTGTGTTTGTCCTCGAGGAGGACGAGTCAACTTCGCGCGTCGTCGCCGCAAAGGTAACTGGAATTTCATCGGAACAAGCGGAGAAGGCGTACAATCTTATTAAGAGATTTACAGCAGAAGCCGTTCTTAAAATCGAAGATCAAGATCTTGTATTAACAACTACGCCTGAATGGAACCAGGCCTGCGACGAGATCGAAAAAGATGGTACAGTTGCAATTCGTAGAGATGAAACTGGCAGAACGTGGCTCGGGGGTCTCTCAAGAGATGTTGAGTTTTCCGTCAAAAAGTTGCAGTTGTTCATCAAAAAGAGAGCCGTGAAAATATCAAGAAAGAACTTCTTATGCCCCTCAAAGCAAATCAAGAGATATTTAAGAGAGCATTGCAAAAGCGATTTCATTGCCATACAAACGAAATATGACATCACGATCCTTGACGGACAAGATGGTGATAAGTTTATCATTTCGGGGCGAGATGACGGTTTGAATCCCGCAAGCCATATGCTGGATCGCCTTATTGAAGGATTCGTGACTAAAAAACTTGAACTAAGCCAAGCAGGCCTTGGAAAGTTCTTTTCCGATGGCAAGGCGGACAATCTTGTGGAAAAGATCGAAAAGGACCTGAAATGTGTAATTTGTATCGAAAAAACGATGGCCAAAATTAGAACAGAGAGTCTTGCAAGCAAGACAGCACTTTTTGAATCAGATTCTACAGAGAGCGAAGATGACGAAGTGACAGAAGACAACTCTGCTTCGAGCTTGGTTAAACAGAGCAGTGCTTCATTCTATGTTACGACCCAGGGACACAGCATCTCATGGAGGGCTGGGGATATTGTCAAAGAGAAGGTAATTTGAGTCTAACGTGACCATGCAGTCATACGCAAGATCACCATGGACACTTTGTGTGATCTTCTATTTTGTTGCTCAGGGAATACTCTACGTCCTGATAGATTCCGCCTTGATGAAATAGCTTCCACTTAATTCCCGCCTCTTAAGAGAGTAAAACCAACAAGGGACATCATACACTACAACAGTGATTATCTTACACTTTTACTTTCGCACTCATTTTTCAGGCCGATATAGTGGTGGCCTCCCAAGGAGCATGCGCTAGGTCGATCAGGCGTGCTGCCGGTCCAAGAATGCGATTAGTGACACCAAATCCTGGAGAGATTGAAGTTTCACCGGGATTTCAATTGCCTTGTACTCACGTGATTCACACGTACTGTGCTGAGTGGAATGGAGGAAACGGAGAAACGGTTGGTACAATTTTCAGAGAAAAAATTAATGGCAGCTTGAGATGTTTAAGGACTGATTTAAATGATTACGAATTCCTGCTATGAAAGGCACAAGGCAAATTACTTAGGCTGACGAGGACTATTCAGCATAAGTTGGAGTACGAACAATTCATTTATAATTTGGTTTTATCAGCAAAGTTGATGATGTAAATTGGCCACCGTAAAGAGTTTCTGAAGCAGACGTTTCGAACGCTAGTCTTGTATATATTTGTTCACCCCCCTCCTCTTCCAGGGACGTAGCACCTCAGGATCTTTGGAAAGTTTCCCTTAGATTCATTCTACTTAAATTCATTGCTGGGGTACATATGTTTGCCGAAACCACACGAACCATTTCTGATTATAGCCCGGTAACTCATGAACTTTTACGTCTCCCAGTCTTTCTTATTAAGGAAACCACTTCTATCATGCTAATTTTGGCTGTCTTATTTTTTCCCATCTAGGCATTAGGATCCATTGTTCGAAAATCACTACGAAAATCCGATGAGCTCAGTGCAAACTCCATTGCTTTCCCTGTGATTGGAACTGGAAATTTACTATTCCCCAAACGCAAAGCTTCCAGGATTATGTTGGACGAAGTGGTCAGTTTCTGTGACAACAACCCACATTCTTCTGTAAAGGACGTTCGCTTCGTTATCTTTGACCAGGATCAAAATCTCATTACCGCCTTCCAACAGGAGATGAGCAGTTTGCAATTACGCCGTGGAAGTGTTGCTAAGTCAGGAAATACTGTTGAGGCTCAAACATGGTGGAAGAAGATTGAGGTCGTTGAGGGTAATCTTACAGAACAGAGAGTGGATGCCATTGTTAACATCATTGGAAAAGACATGGACTTGTCCAGAGCTGGGGCACTTAGTAAAGCAGTAGCAAGAGCTGCTGGAGGGCGCGTGGTACGAGAGTGCATGGATCTTGGACCCCAACCAGGTGGATCGGTTGTGATGACTAGTGGCGGGAACTTGCCAGTAAGTAATATTATCCACTTGGTACCACGGTCTTCAGATAAACAGCATCTCCAAGCCTGCCTTGAAAAGTGTCTCCACCTTGCTCATTCGAAAGGTCTTCATTCCATAGCCATTCCTGCCATTGGAACAGGAGCATATCACATGACTGCTTCAGATTCAGCACTTCTGACCTTTCAAGCTTTGGGAAACGTAGGTGTAGTTTGCTCAAGTTTTTCCCGAATTAAAATTGTGATTTTTGTAAAAGACATGTTGAAGACCTTTGTTAAAGAGCACAAACGGGTTGTTGATTCAGCTGAGCAGTCTAGCTTGCCAGCAACGACAACAGCAACAAAAAAATCAAACCCACTGAGAAGTGTTTTAGCGAAGAAGAAATCACCTCAACCAGTGTCGTGTACCAGTACTTCAACCTTTCATATCTCAGTGACTGCTGCAGATTATGAGACTGTGAAAACAGCTTTAGCAGCTTTAAAGGAAGGTTTCTCTGAAGGTTGCACAACACAAGTCATTCACTATGAATCTGTAAGTCAGCTGTCCGATAGGCAGGTTCATCGTCTGCTACAAAGCTGCAGAAAACGAGACATTGAGCTGAAAATAGAACCTGCTGGAAATCGAGTTGAAGTTCGTGGAGAAGCCAATAATGTTGCTGCAATTGTCGGTGAAATCTGGGTCGAGCTAAATGAAAGATGCAAAAAAATGAGAACCCACGAGTACGCAAAATTGTTGGCTGGTCACGTGGAATGGAGATACGTCTTACATGGTAAGACGAGACGTTTTAGTTCGACTAAAAACGCAAAGATCGAGGAAGCATTTAGAAAAAAGTCTCCAAATGTGACTGTTGGACTTCGTGGAGATCAGTTTCAACTGCATTTTAGGGACAGCACAGGAAAAGGCAGCTTATCAGGAGAGAAGATAAAAATCAGCCGCAAGGTTGTGGGGACAAGCGAAGGTAAGTGTTGGAGCATTTCCTCAGCCGATGACGTCTTTTGCAAAATATTTGAACTATTTATATGCAGATGAGCAAAAAAGGTTATAGCCATTTTTGCCACTTCCTTTTCGAAAGTTTCATTTTGTAGATTATAACTGATTATTTCTGTCTTCTAAAAACCAGTTTTTGCAGCTCTGGTTGAAACAAATTCTTCTGGAAACTACATGTAATTTTTGAAACTTGTTTGTGCAAGAAACAGAATATTAAAAAAATATATATTCCCACACAGAAAAAAAAGTTATCGTCTAAATTTTCTAACCTTGTTAGTTTTACAAAGGAAAGTCATACGTCAAATGATTCGATTGTGGATAGACCCGAATATGAAGAAAAATAGACCGACGACTTGTTTGCATACTTCAGTTTGTCAGATTGGAGGTTTCAAATTTTGGACCGTTAATTTAATTTGAAAGATCTTTCTCTTTTACGGGAATTGATTCCTTGAGGATTGACGACAATTCGCAAAATTCGCAAAAATTAGAGAGGCACAAATTTTCATGAAACACGGTATGCGAGTATTGTATATAATTCAATGGCAAGTGAGTCCAAATTATTTAGGTATACATAGATGTACCCTAAATTCAAAATTTAATTATGAAATTTTATCATCTTATATTATATTTATTTTATATTATATTTATATTTGTCTATTTAAGCTGGAGGAATATCACTGCCAAATCACTGGGAGGCTATGCCAAAGGAGGCAAACGGGAATGAGATCACCGTTCATACAGTAAAACTTCAATCTCAGTCTTCCGAGTTTCAGAGTGTTGTGCAGATGTTTACAAAGACTATGAACTCAGTAACCGTTAAGAGAGTGGAGCGCATTCAAAATCCCCTGCTTTACCAGGCGTATCAGCTGAGGAAACAGAAAATGGACAAAGACAATGGAGGCAACAATGAGCTTCAACTGTTTCATGGAACGGCCTATAATAACGTGAAGAAAATCAATTCTCAAGGGTTTAACAGGAACTTCTCAGGGCTGGCGCATGGTAAGAGAATATACGTAGTTTAACGGCCTGACGCGGGATGCAGATTTATATACCTCCCCCTTTTTGTTTAGGTAGCCTGAAGAAAACAGTTCCAGACAAACGCCAAACGTTCAAGATGTAACAGTTAGGCTACCCCAGTATATAGTCTTTTACCCCTTTGCTAAGCGTACCTTTCACTTTGCAAATATTAACGAGGTCTCACTCTCAGGGTTTGGAAATTGGAGAAAAATTCCGTCGAAATCATATTCGTAAAATTATCCGGGATACTTGCTGCATTATTCTTAATGTACTCGAACCGCTCCCACGCCCCTTCTATCTTTTCCAGGGGAAACAGAATCGTGCTCTCTCGTTACGATCAGTACATCTATTTTTGCTTGCAGGAACTCGCTTAGGTAAGGGTGTTTATTTTGCCAGAGATGCTTCTTTCTCCCTGCGGTTCACCCCCCCGAGAACTGATCACAGTCGATACATGTACCTTGCGCGTGTCCTGGTTGGAAGGTATTGTCAAGGAAATCCACAGTTAGTTGTGCCTCCCTCAAGGGATCCGTTACGGCCCGAAATTTTGTACGATTCTGTTGTAGACAACACACGAAATCCAGGATCTTTCGTTGTCTTCGCTGACAGCCAGTGTTACCCCGAATACCTCATTAAGTTCTGATTCAGACTTACTAGTTACTGTAAATACAAGTATTGGACAACACCGAACACGTTTTCACTTGCTATCTTGAGAAGAAGACCCAGTTTTCAGGCTCAGCTTTGCAGGTCTGGTTAAGCTTTACGTGACAATCCAATGACACGCGGTGTAAACAATCGATAAAATATACAGGATGAGTTTAAATTATTAATAGTAAATAAATGGTTCAGTGAGTGAAATCGACTGGTTTCTGCTGCACTTCAATTCTCAGTCTACTCCTAACAGGAAAACCGCTCTTTCATGAGTAAATTTCTCCCCTGCAGGTTGTGGTGAATATGACGAAAAGCCAATTGAGGCAAAATTCATCGTCACCGACCTTAGAGTGTTAGATAGTTGCGCAAGTTTTTTCGTATGAAAAGTTAACTAAACGATAGCAGTCGATTAGGACTAACTGGGGGTTTACTGTTTTATAGTAGATCGATCAATTTCATTCGATATCGGGTTGTTGATAATTTCCGACGATCTATTTGTTAATACATAATTGCTGAATTGCTAATATATAAAAGATGGTTGTCAAGGTTTCATGTGTGTAAGCTGAATCTACCGAAAGAAGCTGCGAAGTGTTTTCTAGTTTGATCGACGCTTCCGTGATTAGTGCTTTTAGATAGAACAATATAGTTAGCGTTCCAGCTCAGAATAAGACCCCTTGTGATTAGGACGTTTTTTTTAAGTAGGAGATAAGTCTAGAACAAAATTCACGATAATTAACGAGACCCGCGCACGCTTTTTTTAGAACTTAAATTGGTTATGAACACTTAGAATATTAAGTTACAGGCGGAACAGCGCTCGTTTCGTCAACAAACAACATTACTTGAAAGCGAAGAGTTTTCAAAAAGTTTCTTTATGAACTAGTTTGCTTTTCTATATATGTTTAATGTAAATTCCTGAATTATTAGAACCTATCAGGGAGTCACGTGTGTCACTAGATTTGATAATTGATTGCGACTATTTCAGTGTTGACTGAGGATTGGGGAGGGAGGGGGGGAGGTGAGACAAATGGATCCCTTCCCTTATTCCCTCTTTTGTTCATTCTAAGTCTAGAAGTTACGGCATGTAGTGTTCGTCAAAGTGATAAATTCAAGGTATCAAAGTTAAGAACAAAGAAGTGAATAGTTCTCTTTTTGCTGATGACATGTCCTGCTTTTTAAGTCAAGTTTGAAATGTTTTTCAAAATTTCTCAGGTTTAAAATTGAACGAAGGAAAAGCAGAGCTCTTTCATTTAAGGATTTATAATTTGTCTGAAACGTTCCCTCACTAAGTTAAGCTATTAATTCAAATTTTGGGGTGTATTTTGACTATAATTGGTTGTCGAAGAAAAAAGCGAATTTTGAAACAATCCTCAAATCTATTTAAAAACATTAAGTATGTGGAAATGGAGAGGCCTCACTCTAATTGGAAGAATACAAATTATCAAATCATGTGCTATTCCTTAAGTTATGTCCAAAGCCTCCCTCAGTCATATTTCGAATAATCTCATACAGGTAGCCAATAAAAAATTTTTTAATTTCATTTGGAGAGGAAAGGATAAGATTAAACGGTTTTGATTAATGACTTTGAATCTATGATTCTGGCACAAAGAAACATGTGTTTGAAGAGGCACATTAAAGATTATGCTAGTCCTTGGATAATTTTCTTGAGTAATTATTTGGAAAAAGTAGGAGGAAAGTTCATTTTGCGGTGCCATTTTAATTGTCATAATTTGCCCATATCTATGCTGTGGTTTTACAAAGACGCTTGGATGCAAGGTCCACTCTCACAGGAAAGGAAGCGTGTTCTCATGAAGATATGATGAACCAACTTGTGTGGAATAATAAATACATTCTGAGTAATGGTAAGTCTTTGTATCGTGTCTTCTTTCACGACACATGTGGAATAGGTAAAGTTGGAGATTTAGTGTCTAAAGATACTATTTTTCTAGGAAGTGAAAAAATCTTCAATACAAAACTAACTGCAGGTCAATATTTCCTCTTACTGGGAGTGGTCAGCGCCACACCGAATGAATGATGCTCCACCATCAAGAGAAAAAAAATGTTCATGTTGAACCGTATCCTTTCATTGATATTCTTTTCAAGGGCCAATAAGGGGCGAGATGTTTGATCTTTCTAGCATCTCCTCCAAAATACTGCATAGAGAGTTCTGTTCCCGTGAATAGATTCCTCCGACCGTTCACGCTAAATTAAAAGATTAGTAACCTCTGTTGACTGGAAAGAAGTCTATTTATTAGCCTTTAATGTTACTTTGGACACAAAATTTAGAGTATTTGAGTATAAATTGCTGAACCGTATTATTTTACAATTAATAATCTTTTTAAATTCAAGATTCCTGATTCGCCATTTTGTAACTTCTGAAAGATTAATAAATAGTCCCTCGAGCATTTTATTGTTTTTCTGTAAGACAACTGACGTCTTCTGGAAAGAGATATTATCATGGCCGGCCATCAATAAAAATGTGATAGTTTTTCACTCTTTGATGTTTTGCTTGGTAAATTTGACATTAAAGACTCTACTTTTGCTTGCAAAGTTCCATATCAGTTCTGTAGGTGTAAGAATCTTCAGAAGTTTTTAAGGCTAAATTGAAAGCCACTCTTTACGTATAATTTTTGCTTGCCAAAAGAAATGGTGCACTGGCAAAACATTACGAGAAGTGAGATCTTTTTTTCCCGTATAAGTAACTCCCCTTTCCACCATTCTACCATTAGCATGGTTAAAATTATAATATATCATGCCAGGAAAATTCGTGAGCTGCACTTTTTGTAATAAGCTGGTTTGATTAAACGTTCTACTCCCCTGCTCTCCGTTGTACTACGTGCTGTAGTGTTATTGCAATGGTAGCATTGTAAGCGATGTTTAGTATTGTAAATAATGTTACTTTAAGTACGTCATGTAGTGTTGGTAGTGTAAGTAAAATTAGTGCTGTAAGTATTGCTACTATTGCAAATAGTAGTTTTTGAAAGTAAAGTTTATTTTGTAAAATATTGTAAGAACGTAAGAAATCTTCCTTCACATAATTGCCTTGATGCACCTTTCCAAACAGTCTCTTTTAACTCAGTGGTGCATGGGGCATTCGAAGCACTGATTGGGTTGTCGTGGGATCGAATCTTATCGGTAGCAATTGGATTTATTTGTTTAATCCGAGTGTGTCTGTGTCAATCACCGCATAACCTTTTCCTTCTCAACTTTGATAACTAGGCTTAAAATTTATCATCTCCATTTACACTATAATTGCGCATAAACATCACATATCGACATTCCTATCTTCGCAGGAAGTTGGTCACCATGACCTATTTAAACGGCCTACCTGTTACGAGTCCTCTATCGGTTGGCCGTCCAGCGTCCGAAGTACGAATCGGAAAGTCGTTGATTAGACTCGTATTGGCAGCATTGGGAGTTATTTTACTTTGATCATGCTTGCCAAATCCACTCTATAACATGTTTTTTTACATAAATAACTAGTAACTTCCTTCAATTACTTTATCATTGCGTATATAAGCATCACATATCCACAATCCTATAATTGTAGTGTGCAAGAGGTTTGTGGGCATGAATCTGCGAATCCAAATGGGATAACTGCGAATCCAAATGGGAAAGCTCCAAGGTTTTCTTTGTTTTCTCTGGGTATGCCCGTCTTCGTTACTGAAGAACATCCTTCTTCACTGAAATCACAAGGCTTGGAATTGAACATCTTAATTCACATCATCATTGCGCATAAAAATCACCTGTCGAAATTCCTATCCTCGTAGTATGCATGAAAATTTTCAACATGGACCTTGCTGACCCTTTACACCCTAAAATCAGTATGCATATTCTCCATACTGTTCTCTATACATTTCCTGAGGTGCTGACAAGGAGAATTTGTTGAACAACGAAGAGCTTCTTTAGTTGGTGATCATTTCTTTTATACTCATGACGTTCACATTGCATTCAGAGGTGATATTGTAAGGATAAAAACTAGATGCCAGTCACTTTTAGGGTAAAAGGGTTAATCGGTCTGCATTGCCACAAGTCTCTGCTGTCCCACGGTGTTCATGTTGTTGTGTTTCATGATTGTATCCATGAAATACGGCCAAAAGATGCTTTTGATCTAGCTTTACAAGATTTTTTAGGATTCTCTACGAGTGCGGTAAACTTTGCTTCGGCGGGACTGGAATCGTCAGTGAGCTGACTCACGAAGACATAGACATCCGCCGTGTCAGAGCAGGCCCACAACACCGGACACCGCCCACTCTGGAACGAACTTTGATGCCGGACAGATTAAAAACTGACTCAAGTTTTTTTACACCGTGAGTGGTGGCGCAAAGGGAGGAGTGGGCAAGGGGCTGAAGCCTTTTCCGTATTTGTCTTGAGAATATCGCAAGCGTACAAGAAAATCAAGGTTTCATGATCTTCTCATACAAATAATATTATCAGGATCGCCCCTGTGAAACATGTATGCAAGTGGCACGTTAATGAAAAGCCCTGGCAAAACAAAGGTCTCAGGATACAGGAGAGCTCCTACCTGGCACGGTGACTCAAAGAAAAGTTTGAGTGGAGCTATCTGCTTTGCATGGAGTGTGATGAGCACTTCCTCTTATTCTACCCTCCTTCTCATGTTCTTAAACGCTCTGCTGCCTCATCACGCTTTGCTATGCACTCAAGCTACGAAGAAGTAGTGTCGGGGGTTGAGTCACCTTTTGGCCTTTTAAAGCCTTATCTTCATGACAGTATGATTGCGCGATCAATTCAGACCCTATCTTAATCAATTCATGAAGTGACACATGCCTTCACCCCTTTCTTCACCCAGAAAGGAAATACAGCTCAAGGTTACCTATTGCATTTTCTGACCTAGAAACACTTTCGTGAAATGCAAATCCTGCATCGGTCAAAATGAATTGCTCTTAAAACCACAAAAAATTAAAATTTTAAGAATCATCATCATGCTCTGAAATTTGCAGTCAAGGAAAATGAACTCCATCAAAAGATCTGGGTTTGGGATGTCCATAAAATCTTATTTTCTGTCATTATAAAACCATTATTGTTCTCCACATTAAAATTATTTAAAATTCAAAAATTTTTTTGTAATGATGACAAAAAAGTTAAAAAAGTAGAACCATCAAAATTAAAATCTGGCAGTTGTTTACCGAGGTAATGTCATTACACTCCTTAAAAATTTGTTTTTGTTTCTGCCCTTTTTCCCCCGAAGACAGAAAGAATGTACACAGTCACTAAGCACCCAACCTAAACTCAAATAAAACACAGATGGTGTTCATAGCCATTCTCCTCTAATAAGCGTGTGAAGAACAGGCCGGAAAAAAACCACTATTCCACTCCAGGATGAGATGCATCTGTAAACTGATATTCTGGATTGTTCAGTGGAAGGAGATCAGTCAAAACAGGTTTTCTTGGCTCCCTGGGAATATCAATGGGCACCAAAAGATCCTCAAATGGAGTGTTCCATGGCTGCTGCTTGCCACTTCCCAAAAGCAGATAAACGATCCAGCCAACAACATAAATACCAGCAGATATATAGAATACTTTCTGCCACTGCGCCCTTGTTGGCTGAAATGATAAAAATAAATTTTTTAGTCAAAAAAACATAACATAATCAGAAGTTGGAATACCGCATTCCTAGAATAAGCACTGAGGTGCTCATTTAAAAATTCTGGCTAAAGGAGGTACTTCTTAAGAATTGTTAACCTGTGCTGATTCCATTGTAGT